CTTTTTCAACTGATCTTTTATCAGCTTGTATTGGGCTCGCAATGCCTTCACTTTTGTTTGAATTTGGGCCGACGTTCTCTTCTCATGTCCGAGACTGGCTAATCTGTCAGCAAGCACGCCAAAAATTCCCGTTTTGTTGTTTGTTTTTTTATTTTCTATCCGGTCTCTCAGCTCCGGTTGGCCGCACAAATCTACCAGGTCAGCAGTTTCCTGGTTGCTCCAAATCAATCGCATTATTATTAATTAAAATTTGAATTAATTTTTATGAAAAGTAATGTTTGCGTACAACTCCCTGATTGAACACACATGAAGGGTTTTTTATTCAAGAACTTAAATGCAACGGCGTCATCGACTGTGATTGGTCGACAGCCGACGAGGAAATGTCAATCTCGGTCACGCCAGGGTCAATATGGGTGCTGAGCCGGGATCGAGATAGGTAGATTGAGATCGTGGTCACGCCAGGCGCGAGTCGGTGCAGATGCGGTCACTTTACGAAAATCTCACCCGCGGTGAGTCAAGCCAGGCTTGAAACTCTAGTGTGACCGTAGCCATACGCAGCAAAAGTCCATTTCTAGTGTTGTTGCCACTGATGCATTTCAAACCAGGCTGGTTTTTGATTTACGTTTTGGAATAGAATTTGGAGAGGGCGTTTGATCAAGTCAGACCGTCAGACCTACGTTTTGAATTTGAATTACATTTTAAAGAAATTAGAACTACATTTTGGAAAATTTGAACTACGTTTTCAAAAATTAGAACTTCATTTTGGGAAACTAGATCTACATTTTGAGAAATTTACGCCTACGTTTTGATAAATCAGACATTGAATTTTGCAGTTACATTTTGAATTTAACATGGGCTTTTGCTGCGTATGGCACCCCATAGGTTAGGATATCTATAAAACGAAGATCCTTGAAAATATTTCACAAACAGATGTCAAAAAAAATTTCGTAATTTTGATTTTGTGACTGCCTGGTGTATTATCATTAAAATAAAAGAGAAAGAGAGTGGCCAAGTCTTCGTTGGTGTCATAGTCGACTGTCGACAAATTGAAAACTGGAGTGCACGAACATGATAGGCCCTATCACAAAGATATAGGCTACAGTAAGCATGGGGTGAATACCATTAATCATCATAACACATTCACTTACTCTTTGTTAGCGTTTTCAATATATACGACGATTTGCATAAAGTGTATTTCATACAAAGGTACATTGATAAATGTGCCATCCTTCGGTGTAGGGTCGACGAACTGGGGTACAGTGTCGCATAAATCAGCACTATCGAAAACATATACTAGGAACTGAAGTGGGATTTTACTCAGTGGTGTCGTAGATTTTGCGGTTGAGAAGTCCTCAATCATTAAAGCGACTGCATACCATCCCATCATGGAGCTTGCCTCATAATTAATTGTACAACCATTCTTAAAGATATAGCAATGATATTGTTAAAATAATTATTTGGTTAAATAATATACTGTTTAAGTTTTAAACTTTTGAAAATAAACCAAATAGTTAAGTTCTCACTTCATATAGGGCCCATTGGGCAAAATGCTTTTTACAATTTTAATTAAAGATTAAAAAGGGGTTTTTTTTAAAACAAATTTACAGATGTATCAAATCTAATCAATTTATTGTAAATCTCTTTTGAATTAGCGGCACACATGCATTGTTGTTGCATCCTTATAAAAAAGCAAACAATAATTTAACACAATAAAACTAACAATTACCTAAAAAAACAGCAACATTGTAAACAAAAAATATATAGGCCTGATGCCATTCTTATGTGTATGATTGTAAAAAACCCTTAATTTTATGGTAAGCAATATTACTTAAGAATGTTTGTATTGAAAACAAGTCTAATAAGTCTATAAAGCTTTGTCTACACTATCATATTTCATCAAAAAAGCGTCACATAAAATGTGATGGAAAATAAGAGTTCAACACGTTCAACTTTTTTTTGGATACAATTTGATAATGTGATATGACGTCACATCATGGTACCCATATATGGGCACATCAATTTTTGTTGTCACATAAAATTTGATAGTGTAGACAAAGCTTTAATCAGTGACATTCAGATATCAGGATGTTTTAATTAGATACAGTACATATTTTACGCTAATTGATAATTATTTGATTTGTTAAAATAAGCCATTCAATGTATTGTTCAAAATATTGAGGGTTTTATGAATTTTAAGAAAAGTTTGTTTTTGTATAATGTGTAAAACAGGCCTATAATATTGTGCGGCTAGTCTAATAATTTGACCTATTTTTGTATTTTCCATAATAAGGATAATTAATAAGTTGACCGATTTTTGTTTTTGTTTTTTTCTTCAATGAATTGAATTTTTAATGATTTTTTTTAATTTTTAGCATTTTGCTGTTTTGTGTTTACTTAGTTGATTTTGATGTTGTGAATAAGTTGTGTGAAGCAAACCATTTTAGCATCGGCTGCTGTTTGTAATTGTTGTATATTTTTATACCTGATAAATAAAATAAATAAATAATTTGTGTAATTGGAAATGAGTTATCAAAAATAGTGATGTTTGATTATATGCATAGTGTGTTTCCTTATTATAAATGACAATCTTACTTCGTCAAGGGTAGCATTAAAATTACGACAAATACTCCCACATTCATCATTACCAGTTGCCCAACGACATCTTATTATATCGTCGTCTGGATCATCGACTGTAAAGAGCACCATAATTTAAAAATAACATTTTTGTTTTCAAGGTAACAATTACAGTGTAGTGTTTGACTGAAAACAATTATATGCAGTCTGATACAATATATGTGTTTTTTCTCATACATATTGCATACTGTACTTTGTTTATTTGTACCATTGCATATATCTATCTATTTTTATACCGC